GCTGGCTGACTCTCCATGCGTCCTGCCTTAACCACAAGCATGGTGCCCGCAGGCTGCCAGCCCCCAGGGCCCAGCCGTCTCCCCACGCTCAGCCAGGGCGGAGGCATTTCCGACGCCTGGAACACGGTCACACCACCCTCCTCCTCCTCGCTGCTCCCCCTTACCGCAGCAGGTGATGGTGCACAAGCCAGACCCCCGCAATGCTCTCTCCCTCATCCTGCAGGCTACTTCATCCACGACAGCCTTGACATCATCTTCAACCACCAGTCCCGCTCCTCCTGGGAGTACCTCGTGCACCATGCCATGGTGAGTACAGCCCCAGGGAGGCGAAGGGCCAGCAAAGGCGGGGCTACCACGCACCCCAGGGCTCAGCCCATGCAGGTTTCATGCGCTACGGTGGGGCAAGCCGGAGCCCTTCCCTCCGCCTCGCCCTCAACAAGGCGAGGGCGGCCGGCGGGGGCTCCGAGCTCCGGAGCCAGACAGACTGCCATGCCAGGCGAGGGAAGAGCCGGAGGCTGGTCCCAGCTCCCCGCACAGAGAGGTGTAACTGGTCCCAGGGGAACTGGCTCTCCAGACTGGTTTTCCCTTGGCCCAGGTGCCTGGGGGGCTGCTGGGATCTCTAGGTGGGGGAGGAGCAGCACCGCATATGCCCAAACCTTGATGGGGAAGGACTCACCGCCCCCAAGGCGAGGAGAGCTGACCCTGCTGTGTGTCCCCGCTACTCCCAGGCCATCTCTGCCTTCGTCTCGCTCATCATCACGGGCCGTTTCCTGGTGGCGGCAATGCTGCTGCTGCTGGTGGAGGTGAGCAACATCTTCCTCACCGTCCGCATGCTGCTGAAGATGAGCAACGTGCCTTCCCCGGCGCTCTACGAGGCCAACAAGTACGTCAACCTGGTGATGTACTTCATCTTCCGCCTGGCACCCCAGTCTTACCTCACCTGGTACTTCCTCCGCTACGTGGAGGTGCAGGGCCAGGGTGCCTTCCTCACCACCAACCTCCTGCTGCTCGACGCCATGATCCTCATGTACTTCTCCCGCCTCCTCCGCTCCGATTTTTTCCCCTCCCTGCGTAAGGGCTCTGCGGGGAGAGACGTGGATGGTGAGAAGTTTCTGATAGACTGAGACGTGTGCGCCGAGGGGGACCCGGGCTCCGGCTCCTGGGGGTCTTAGCCTCTCCAAACCTGCTCTGATGTGCCTTAGCTCCCTGGCCCTGGGCCCTGCCTTCACCTGCTCTGCTGCCTAAAAGTGCTTCCCTGCTGGACCAGCCCGACAGCCTCACCGAACCGCGGGGACGCCGCCGAAGCCAGGGGCACGGCCGATGGAAAAGCAGCCCAAGCCGGCTTCCGCGCAGGCAGCTGATGGCCTGAGAGGGTTGCGAGGGAAGGGACGAGTCCCTCCCGTGGTGATGTTGGGTGTTACGTGCATTAAAATCGGTCTGTTTACTGCTGCCGCAACACGCCTGCGCTGGCTTTTCTGTGGGGCGCAGCGGCGTTGGGGGGAGGATGGGGAGGGGACAGGGCCATGGGAAAGGATGTGCCCCTGTTCTGGCTGTCCTCGGGGAGGGAGAGGGCACATTTCTGCCGCTCGCTTTGTTCTAGGGACCCTCCAGGGATGCACACAAACCTCCTGGGTCCTACCAGCCCAGCTGCACCATGCTAAGCCTTGAATAGCAAGACCCCATCCCTCCCACAGACGGGTCCCTCCCCTCCTCCTCACTCATCTGCTCTTCCAGAGACCCAGGGCTGCGCAGGGAGCAGGGGAAGGGAGCCAGGAGAGGTACCAAGCCTTGCTGCAGTCCCTGACCTGCCTGTCTCCGGCCTGGCGGCGAGGAGCCTGGTTGGGCTGCATGACTCACCCAGCAGCCACGTGAAGTGGAGCTGGCATGGGAAAGCCATGTGAGGCCACGGGCTCTTCCTGGAAGACTGCTGCATGCTTGCATCCCCCCGGAGCGATCTTCACCAGCAAAGCGCAGCTCCAGCCCCCTGTGAGCATGCTGGGCCCTCTCCTGCAGCGGCAGGACCAGGCTGCCTCCAGCAGCCCCCCCAGAGCAGCAGGAGGAGAGAGGGGGTTCAGCTCCCCGGGGGAGCAGGGCTAGAACCGGCCCAGCCGGTCCTGTGGAGCACCAGAGTGTCGGGAAGGCAAATCCTGCTGACGTGATGGCTCCAGGATCACACCAGACTGGCATAAAGCAGTGGCATTTAGAGGGACTCCTGCCCAGCCCCTGCTCCAGGGCAGGATCCATCCCACCAATCCCACCGCCAGCCCAGCTCAGGCAGAGACAGGCGCTGAGGTTGAAATAAGCAGGTGATTAAGTGGAAGCAGGGGGGGGTCCCCCTCCCTCCAGAGAGCCGGGAAACACCCCACAGGGCCGGGATCCTGCCAGGGCTCCCCGGCGTGCACTGACGCCATGGCGGGCGCAGGGGGTAGGTGCCGGGAACAGCCTGGCAGCCAGAGCGGAGACGTGATACTTGGGACCTACACCAGCTTCAAACCCGCCGCCTCGCCCCCTCCTCGCTCAAAGCAGAGCTCAGCAGCCCCGTGCCAAGCTGCAGGGAGCTCCCGCAGGGCACGGCCTTACCCTCAGCAGCACATCCCAACAGCTACGCGTCTTCCCAGCTGCAGCTTAAGCCCACGGCCTCTGTGCACCAACTCCATCTGCAAACACCCCACACAATCAAGCCCCAACCTTAGTTTCCCCTCATCCCAATCCCTGCACCTTTCCCCTTGTCTCTCTGCACGGAGCAGACACGGCTCTGCACCAACAGGTCACAGGCTCAGGGGGACCAGCCCACGCTCCCACCACCCTTCCAGCAGCATGGAAGGATCAAGCATGACAAAGCTTCCCAAAGCAGGGAGCCCAGCTCCCCTCCGCTGCCCTCCGGGCTTCCAGCCAGAGCATCTCCCAGCAGCGCAGCGCTGGCCAGGCTGGGGCAGCTGTGGGTCAGGCTGGCTGCCAGCCCGGAGCAAGAAGCAAGCGCAGGGAAGCAAAGTGCCAGACGGCAGCAGCTGCCGGGCTAAGTTAAGGCAGGGTTAGGGCAGACTGCAAGTCATGCTGATACGAAATCCCTCCCCAGCCTGCACGCTGCAGCACGTACCTGCACAGAGCCCCTGCTGCTGCTGCTCATCCCCTTCCCAGGCCAAGGGCAGGAGGTTGGGTTGGTGCCCTCAACCCCACAGGCCAGCGGGAACATCAGACCCAACCCCAGGAGGGAGCGGGGCTGTCCCAGGTCCTCGCACCACCGTACTCCCAGCAGCGGGGCTGTGTCACAGGCAGGGAAGGCTGCCTGTTGTTCAGCCTTACCTGGCCCTGCACAGCTTGCCACCAGCCCTTGCTCTCTGATTTTCAAGCCCCTGGCCAGGCTTGGACAGGGGAAGGGGCAAGAGCCTGGGTTCTGGCCTGCACCCAGGGTGCCAGCAGAGCTCTGCACAGCACCCGTGGGTCAGGAGGGA